TTGCCTCATTGCCATTTGTCGGCCATTATTGTTTTAAGGCGGTCTTCGTGCCTTCTACCAGTCCCTTTAAAACAAATGAAAATACGTTACTCGTGTAGCATAGGGCACTAAGCTCTCGGGATATTTTCATCGATAATGACAGAACTTCTCTTAATCCCGAATGTTGTTCAGCGGAGGAAAGAAAGGTGAAGGCGTCGTAATTGAGCTCCTTTTGCCTCGGATGCCGACCTCAGATGACCCGAGCCCAAATGAGACACCGCTTGAGCTAAAGTGCACCGGCCTTCCGGGCCTCTTCCCCCCCCCCCCCCCTCTCCCCTTCTCTCTCTCTCTCTGTCTCTCCCTCTCTCTTTCTCTCTCACCCACTCTGAATTTGGGGAGCGGAACGTAACCCTGCTGGGGGACCGAAACGACCGGCACGGAGAGGAGCGGGGACCGGAGGGGACCGGGGCTGCTCATCGCAGGGCTCATCGCGGAGAAAGCGAAGTGGAGTGGCGAGGAATGGGACGCGCTGTGCACTTTGGAACGGACTTGGCCGGCCTCGTCTGACCACCCGCCGACACGAAATACAGTTGTGGAGGGGGGGGGGGGTATTACATCTGAGAACTGTTTTTAAATGTTTGTTGTTGTATGTCAACAGATTGCTTCTTACTAAATGAGACGCCATGTGTGTGCTAAGTTTGTCCTGTGTTTGTTTTCCTGCAGCTGCGGGCGCTGAGCGCCGGCTCTCCCACCGCGCCGCGCCGCCCCCGGAGCCCCGCCGCCCCCGGAGCCCCGCCCCCACCACGGCCACCCCCTGGCCGCCCAGCCCCCGCCTGCGATGGTGCGGGCATTCCACGCGGCCACATGGCTGTGCCTGGGGCTGAGTGCGCTCGGAGCAGTCGTCATCGCACCATGCTTAGCGCAGAACCACCAGGTAAGGTTAATTTTAAACCTAAGACTTATTTACCAGAACATAATCGTTACTCGAACAGCTACAGCCGGCTTGGAATTCCATCATACAAATTCCTCTCTATAGAATGAAAACGTGTTTTTTCCTGTATCTGTCTCCTCCGCGCTATTTCATCCCGTCAATGTCAATACTCTGAGAACGCACCCCCCACCACTAACCTCCGCTCGCGAAGGTCGCCGGCGGCGGCCCGCGCGGCCCGCGGCCGCCAGCAGCGACACCCATCGTGCATCATGAGATTACTTTCTGAACCCCTATTGAAGGCATCGAGAGCACTCGATACTCCGTTGGGACATGCAGCCATTCAGCCCGCTAGACTCGCCGTGCCCTGCCGCCGCCACTGCTGCACCGTTTCTCGCAGGGCGCAGCCGCCGCCGCTGCCAAGCAGCGTCGCGCTCGGTTTGCGAAACTGTAGCACAATGGAAACATTAATCGCAACAGGCTTGCCTGCACTGCGCGGCCTGCGCGCGCGGCGCGGACAGCAGCGGGGCGGATGGGTGAACAGATAGATGGACAGACTGACGAGGGGTAGTAGGCTAGTTGGAGCACGCGGGACCGCTATCGACAGCCGGTATCGAAAATCTGAGGTCGGCCGCGCCCGCCGTTTGCTGGCAGCCACCAGGGGAGGATGGCCATGTACGTCCCCGTCTTGGCCGGCCAACGCTCTACGGATGGACTCGACTACTGCCAATAACATAGCTGTCGACGCCTTGGACAAGTCGGGAGCAAGCGACGGCGGCGCTGCCAGCGTCACACAGCAGCAGGGCATATCGGTCGGCCACCTTTTCGCCTCGTAACGTTGGCAGCACGAGTGCGAGCCGTTAAGCGACCCGGAGCTGACCCGCGCGCGCGCCGCGCAATAAAAGCAGACAGCAGTGCAAGTGCCGCCAACGGCCAAACACAAAAAGCAAACCAACACGCGGCGAAACGATTAATCCCAAAGTAAAGTGTGTTCCTGGTCATAAAGGAGGGCGTCCACCACCCGGCCGGTGGTCAGAGAGCCTCGGCCTGGAGCCGTGACAAAGGCGGGGCTGCCAACCCCCCGCGAGGACTGGACTTGCGTCACCGGGGAGGTTATACTTCCCCGTCCGTGTGAGGGGTGGTCGCAGAGGTGCGCGAATAAGGAACCGAGTCATTCGCAGAGTACAACTATATGAAGACCTCTTTAAAAAAAAACGTTCAGTTTCACATAATTGAGTCACGGACTTGGTCACTCACTGGACCGGCTCCACATTTTCCAGCCGGTAAGTAGTGGAGCCGTGGGGGCGGCGGTCGTTGTCGTCGTTGCGTGTGACCGGATTAGCGAGCGACGGTCAGGCCAGCCCGACCAGGCCGCCTGCCGCCCCCAAGACCACGGGCGTGGGAAAGGAGTCGCGAAACAATTGCGATCGACTTGTCCAAGAGACTTGTCGCTCGGGTCGGCCGAACCTTGGACTCTCTCGAAAGGGGGCGTGGACCGACGAAAAATGAGAGTGAAAAAATCTCTAGGGAAATTAAAAAAGAAAACATCACAAAAAACAATAAAAATACCGACGTTTTGCGCTTGGGTTAATGCCCCTGAAGAGGTATGTGAAAAATAGTTAAAAATAAATCCGAAAGCCATGGCGGTCGCGAGTTACACGTGACACTCCGGTTGACCCGTGCGACCCCAAATGAACCGGTCAGGTGCGCTTGTTTTCCGACTTTGACTCGCGGTGTCGGTTTGTAATCCCAATTGTTCTGTCCAGCAGTCGATGCCAAAGCCGATTATCGAGCCACACCCTCCCTCCAGGCCGTTCATGGCCCCCCCCCCCCCCCTCCAGCTCTCTGTGTCCAGGGTGCGTACGATTATTGGTCTAGTTGTTGGACCCCTCGACGGCCTTGGAGCATATCCGTAAGGCGACAGGAATATCACGATCTTTAATAGCGGCACTCAACCTTGCTTCCCTCTTCCCAGGTCGTTGGTCCTTCCCGCGGAGTAAACTTATTGTGTTCCATAGATATTGAAGACGTAGATTTCTTTACTTTGTGAAGAATGCATGCAAAAATAATGTCGTTCAAGATGCACTCACGGCATTTCTACCATAGAAGTTCCGGCAACTTTACTCCCTCTGTCGTATACAGTATATGTGCGTATGTATGAGTCTTCTGGCTGAGTGCTTCAGTACGTATTAGTGTGCGTGTGAGTGGGGAAGACTGCTCGTGTGTGTGCGTGCGTGTGTGTGTGTGTGTGTGTGTGTGTGTGTGTGTGTGTGTGTGTGTGTGTGTGTGTGTGTGTGGATATGCCCACCAAAAAGCAAAAGCACCTGCTGCTGAGAAAGGTCAACTGGTCTGCTTCGCGAGCTGCTCCGGAGAGCGAGGCGCGAGGTTGCCGAAACTGGCTCTGCAGCCCTGCCGCGCCCCGCGTCGCCCCGCACCGCCACACCCTAGCACGGTCCACTGGCGATCATGTGCCCAGCAGCACAGGTGCACGCAGCCAGGGCGTGGCAGCGCGTGTAAAAGGAAAAGAGATTTTCTGGCGGAGCGAAAAAACCTGATCCAACTTGCAACATTTTCAAGATTAAATTCATAATGTTTTATCGTCAGGAGCACAATTATCATAATAGTAGCAGCAAGTAACGAAAATACCCTCTCAAGCCCCGCGGTACAGTCAAGTCGTAAAGGTGACGCAGCGGAACGCAATCAGTGTAAATCAGAAAGTCCTCGCGCCAGGAAAAGTTGGAGCCCGGACAAAAATGTTTGCCCGATGATGTGTGCGTGCAACTCTCGGAATGGCGACCGGCGGTGGTGATGATGGTGATGATGTCAGCTCCGCGACTCTCGCGCCGCCGTGGCCGCTGCCCCTCTGCGGCCCGTTTCGTCTTTCCCTTCCTTTCCTCGCAGAGTACGCCCCGAGGCCCGCGGCCGGCGGACGGGACGGGCAGCAGACTGATGCCAAGTTAACTCGGGGCAACATATTGATTCTTGTCACACTAAAAGCGGTGTCGCGGCGGCGCGGTTGTCTTCCGGGCGTGACCGTCACGCGCGCACACACTGCGGAAAACACATGACCGTGGCGAGGTGTAAAAAACAAATTTGCGGCAAAACAACCAGCTCTGCACTCTAATGACAAGTGGCAGTTTTCGTCTCAATGCAGTGACAAATTTGAATCTTATGTTTGGCTTTGTAATTTTTTTTTTTTTATTTTGTACTAAATATAAGATGCACCGTAAACCCAAAACGTGTGAACTTCGCAAACTTGTAGGTGTGTGAACGACATTCGTACATGGAGCCTCAAGTGTGTGAATTTCAAATAAAAATTGACACCTTCACTTCCTTAAGTGCACGAATGGGGTTCACACACCTGCAATTCACTCACTTACTTGAGTTTCAGTAAGAGTGCATATTTTTGTCACAGTTGAATTGGACTGGATTTAACAAGTATTGCAAATCTCACAAGGTGCGCTCACAGATGCGTCTTGAACCGGTCGAAAAAACATGCTTCTTTTGTCATTGAGAATGTGCTGAAGCTGTGCAGTTAGCAGTAGCAGCACCTAGTGCACCTGCTGCACGGCGCTCATTGGCGGCGCGGGCGCGCATAGTGGCGCGCGGGGCCCTCTCTGTTGGCACGGCACCAGGCCGCCTGCGCTTTCCATTCATCAGCTGGCTAGCCGTGCGTCTAGCGGCCGTGTCCACAGCCGTGTCCATACAGCCGTGTCTGTGCGGGGGCATCGCGCAAACGAGACCTTCTCTCGTTACACAGCTGGTAGGTGGTGGGCCGACCTGGGCTGATCTGGATCGACTCTCTCTGAGCTCACACGCCGGCGAATCACATAACAATAAAAGCGCGCTATTATGCGGAAAGCTTTATTTCTGCACGTAACTGGTTGTTTTTTCTGCACTCTTTATTTTTTTTTATAGACAGAGTATTATAGCGATATCCGCGGCGCGTGCCCCGCCCAGTCCGGCCCGGCCGTGCAGCAGCAGTAGTCTCTATCCGTCCAAGGCGAGCTGGACCGACCAGGACCGCCAGCAGCCCCCGCCCCCTAACGTCTCTCTCTGCGTGTCTCTGTTTCTCTATGTCTCTCTCTCTGTCTCTCTATCTCTCTACGTCTGTTTCTGTCTCTCTATGTTTCTGTCTGTCTCGCTCTTTCTCTCTGCTGTGGTTCTCTCTGTCTCTCTGCTCTGGTTCTCTCTTTGTTTCTCTATCTCTTCGCTCTTCTTTTTCTCCTGCGTTTAGCATCCTTGCAGCCCTGTGGCTCAGGACGAAAAAAAAAACAAGGCAGGTAGTCGCACGTCCTGGGGTTGATATCATTTGAACTTGCGATCGGTGGTTGCGACGAGTCGAGTCGGTGGTTGCGACGAGTCGAGTCGGTGGTTGCGACGAGTCGAGTCGGTGGTTGCGACGAGTCGAGTCGGTGGTTGCGACGAGTCGAGGTGCCGGCTGCCGGTGGCGTCCCGTCTCTCGTCTCGTCTGAGTCGCCCGTAGCAACAGCAGACGCCCATAAGGTAAGTAGCCGGCGGCGATTTAACGGGTTAAAAAAACGCCGCAGTGATTGGTCGATTAGGGCAATCAGTGAAGCGACGCCGCCGCGCACCGATCGCGCAGACACTTTTTTTTGTCTCGCCCAAATAATTGCTGACCATTGGCTGTGCTAATGCGCCGTAAATACACTCTTAGAAAAAAAATGCGCAGAGTAGAAAATGGGGTTGGTAAAAAAGTTTAGAGGCGCCAGACGGCAACAAGCGCTTTCGCGAGTTGGCGCTTGCTTCTTTCACATGCGGAGCAGACGACACTTTCATGAGAGTGTCGCTGTAAATATCGCTCCCCGAGCCCGAGCGCAGCCGCAGCGTGCTTAAATCGAACCGTCACCGCCGGTTTTTGTACCTCCGGCTCGACTTTATCTCTGCCCACCACTCAGCGGAACAAGAAAAACGAGGAATAGGAGAAGACGAACAAGAGGAAATTTCATGAATATTTGAAGAGCAGGATGCTGTTGCTGCTGCCC